CTTTTGTTGTGAGATTTATTTTAATGAGAAAAATCTCAAATAAGTTTGAGATTTGAGCCAAAAGGAAATACACTGCAAAGAAAGAAAGAGTTGTGCACACCCTCCCCACCCCCATTCACCTCTGCCTCTTGGCAAGCCATTGACCTATTTTAGTAGCAAGCCCAGGCTGCCACTGTGTCACCTGGCTGAGTCACAGGTAGGGCTTACAGAGGACAGGCCGGCAATTACACTGTGTTCCTAGAGTCAATGTACATTCGTAAGTCCTCTGGTGCATAACGTTAAAGCCTTGTGACTTGCTAAGGCAAAACATTGTATAAGCCATTGGAGAAATGAAGCATATAGTCTGCTGATGGTATAATTCCACTTGAATACTGTAGACAGACCCATCTGTTTTTATAATTAAATCTGCTACCGAGTTGAGCATGACTATTTGTCAATACTTCCAAATATTAGAATCTTTTTTTCTCTCTCAGCTACCCAGGGGCAGATGGTTTATCTCCCAATTCTTTTAGATGAACAGAATTTATACTGGGAATGATAAACTCCCAAGGTTGTTCTCAATATGAATGAAAAGTTCAGTGAGGATCCATCCNTTATCTCCCAATTCTTTTAGATGAACAGAATTTATACTGGGAATGATAAATTCCCAAGGTTGTTCTCAATATGAATGAAAAGTTCAGTGAGGATCCATCCGGACTGCCTTACCTTTAGAGAAAAGGCAATAAGCAAATAATACCTGTTCTCCAAGTGGTCAAAGGGCAAGGGTAAGGTGAGTTCTAGGTTGGTTCGCAGTCCAGGCGCTTCTGCTTCCTATTTTTGTCTCATCTTTATTTAGGATAGTCATGGCAATTTTATTCCCAGGCCGAGTTCCTCTGGACTTGCTCAACCGCCAGCCTTTGGCCTGAACCTTGAGGTGTTTATGAAAGTCTAATCTCCTAAATATATTTATTATTGTTGTTGAATGTTTAAAAATAAAACATTAACTTTGGACTAAGTATCTTGCTTTCATTTGTTACCACTGTCGATGTAAGAGCTTCCAAACCTGTAGAGACGTTTTATGAGTCAAAACTGACGACACACAAGGGAGCAAGGTCCCAAATGCTCTGGAGAATGGCAGTTCTGTGGGTTCTTTTCTGCATCTGATATTAAGGAGGGGACGTAAGGAGGATTACGGGAGGGTGCGAGGAGCTAGACCGGGACTGGGTTACAAGAGTGTTAAGCTCTGGAGGGTGGATACTATCACAAGGAGGGGTCTGAAGGGGGCATTTCAGGTGTGTTAACCTAGATGCACGGAAACAATGGATAGGGCTTAAGGCAAACAAGCTTTTTAGCAAAGAATTTGCATGCCTGGGGTGTGACTTCTCACGGAGGCCTGCCCATTTAGGAATTTATGATCAGGTCTCCCTATGAGGTTACTTTCCATAGAACACCCCCCTTTTTTTTTTGTTCACACCACTTAATATTAGTCACGGTATGTTTTCCATAGTTATAGTTGATATCATATTATTCAGAAATGCAGTCCAGAAAAGCAAGACGATCAATAGCAATAATAACTACATTTATGGAGTAGTTAACTCTGTTACAGAAATTGTGCTAATCACATCACAGACACAATTCCCATTCTTGTTTTACCTGTTGTAGCTAAGGAAGCTTCAGTGTTCTGCGTACCTTTCCTGAAAGTCACACTAGACCAAAACAAAGCCAGAATTTGCACCCAAGTCTTCTGGCTTTAAAGACTGTACATATAACTACTGATCTAGACAACAAATAGCAGGTCGGAGCAATGTCCATTCAGCCCAAATATCAAGTATCTAAAATTTACATCTAAATTTAGATCTAAAGCATCTAAAATAAAAATGTTGTTTCTTATAGTCTCCTCAGTCTTGTTTTTACTGCTTTGGGCTCTAAGTGAAGTGAAGAGCGATGTTTTAAAGCCCCGTGAATAACTGAAAATCCTCATTTATTCAACAACTGCTCAGCTTCTCCTATGAATGAGGCAAGGTGCTGGGTGGGGGATCTGACGATGACAGTTCTTGCTCTTTGAGGTCAGGTCGCAGTGGAAGAGGCAGGACTGCACCTACTGCAATCTGGGCTGTCCCCAACATGCAGGGGGTGAGCCGGGGGCTACGCTTTCCCACAGGGCTGTTGGGGGGCCGGGAAAAGGCAGCCCGTGAGCAGGGCGGGGGTGTTAGGAGGGATGCCTGGGGACAGAGGAAACGACAAGTACAAATGCCCTCGGGTGGGAGCCTGATTGCTTCTCGGGGAAGCAAAGAGGCCACTATGGCCAGAGGCGAGTGGGGGTGACGCCAGGGGCAGGGGTACCAGGTCCAAGAGGAGCGGGAAGGGGAGCACAGCCCGTCCTGCCAAGTCTTGGGCTTTTACTAAGATGGGAAGACCTGAAGGGTTTTGAGGCGAAGCCACATGTTTTAACTCGGGCTTTCCAGGAACCTCCCTGGCCTGCTCTATAGGGGTGACGGGGGGGAGACCAGGTAGAACGTAAGTGTCGTCAGCCTGCTAAGAGATGAGGGCGGCCTGGCCACCGTGGTGATGCAGGTGGTGGGAAGTGGTCGGGTGTTCGTATGTTCTGACGAGATTTGCAATGTGGGGTGTGAGAGAAGAATCAGGGCGACGCCCAGGTCTCCAGCCTCAGCACCTGGAGGGAGTCGCCAGGCACTGCGAGGGGAGACGGGGAGGCACCGGCGGTGGGGCGGGTGGGGGGCTGTGGGCAGCAGAGCTCAGCTTTGGACAGATGCCGAGGTGCCTACTAGTCTTCCACGTGGAGATGCAGATCAGAGAGCTGAATATCCAAGTTAGGAAAGATGAGAGGCTGGAATCCGGTGAACACCAAGGAGAATCTGCAAAAGCTTAAAAAAATGGCGGCGGGGGGTGCGATTGAATGACTCTCTTGAAAAAGGTTCGAGGCATTTTCATGTATATCCTCACTGTTTCTGTGTCACTTACAAAGCTCTGTGATGACTGTAAAACTCGTGGCTGCATCAGGCTGTGAGCAGCGGCTGGAGCCAGATCAGTGGTTTCTAAACTGTGGGCGTCAGGCCCCAAACATCAGCTCACCTGGGAGCTGCTTCGAGCTGCAAATTCTCAAGCCCGGGACCTGCTGCGTCTAAACTCCGGGAAGGAGGCCCAGGGCGCCCCTCGGACGTGTTCTCCGGGAGGCCGTTATGNTCCAGGAAGGAGGCCCAGGGCGCCCCTCGGACGTGTTCTCCGCATTAAAATGGAATCAGCTCGATAATAACAAGTTTAGTATTTCCAGGTTTCAATCATTGCAAAAAAAAGGAACAACTTTTTTTTTTTTAATGGGTAAAATGTTTTTATTGTTTAAAGCATAAAAAAAGAGTAAACAAAACCAGTATGACATTTCATTCTCACTCAGCCTTCTCAATGAGGTTATAGAAGTACGGTGCCACTTAGTCTGCATAAACTCTGGAAAATGTCTAGAAGTTCACACTAATAAAAATGCACTTAAAACGTGGATAATAAAAAACCACCTCCCTGATACAATTAAATTTGCTTTGAGAAAAATTTCTAAATATAGACTCCTACATAAAGAGGACCTCACATTTTCTTGTTTGCCGAGGCAGACAGCATTTTCCCCATGTTACCCACAGACGTCCTAGCTGCAGGCCGCCTTCTCACACCTCCTTTTCCTTGATATAGGTAACAGAAAAGCAAGCTAAAATTCATGCTTTGCTTCAATTTAATCTCTTATTTTGCTTATGATAAAACAAGATTCTTAACTTGTAACCAAGATCTTTTAATATGACTGGTTCATTTTCTTTTCATTTCAAATCACAATTCATTAAAAAAAAAATGAAGATGATGATGTCAATGTGTGTTTTTTAAGTGCCTATTATTCAGCTGCTAAAATCACCCTAAGCAACGCGTCTGAAGCACGTGGACACACACGTGTGTCTATCTCTAAGTACTGCTCCTGCATCACCCTGGCTTTTGAGCTGAATGAAATCATACTAACATGATCTTAGTAAACTGGGATCACAGGTTAGAATCCAACTCAATCATTCAGTGCACGCATCTGTGGAAGGAAAGATGCGTGTGCTTCACATAGTTTTAACGTCATTTTCTTTCAGATTGGTCAAAGATAAACAATGTCCACCATTCGTTAAATAAAAGCCTCCTGACCTATGTCATACATGTACTGTTGCTCATTAAAATAAGTGCATTCTTGCTGTGGAAATTCTGTTTTGGAAATTTTTATAAGGTCACCTTTTCAAGGCATCGGCAAGAAAGGATCAATGTTTTCTTTGAACTGAAAGAAACACACGACAGATCACTAGCTCATTCTCTGCATATAGGATGCTATGATAGAGGTGAGTAATTTCACCCCAAGGGTATTCACTAAAAAAAAATACATTAATTGCTTTAAGGAACTGCGTGAACATGGTTAATCTGAAATAATTTAACAGTGACATCCAGAGAGCTGGTTACTTTCCTGGTTGGAGCTACACATGAAAGCTGACATGTAAAATAACATGGGGGAAATACAGAGCCACTTGAGCGCTTATCACTTTATTTCTGCAATCATAAATGGCAATGATTTGAATGAGTCCTGGGCATTGATCTGAGTGTTTAAGTTCATCCCTAATTATCCTTTTCTTCTGTTGCTCCCTTTTAAGAAACGCCACGCCAGCCAGCGCACGGGTGTGTTCCACGGAGCCTCGTGCACTGACGTCCTGTGCGCACCTGGGCTCGGCGGTCGTGCCTCTGCTCACACTCGGCTGGTTAGCTTCTCTGCTGCATGGCGTTGCAAAGCTTTTGCTGATTTTCAAGGCAGTCTTTCAGCTTATCCTCTGTCAAAGTCAGTCGCTGCTCCAAGATCGAAACAGTCTGCAAAAAGGAAGACAAAATAATCCACGGCTGGTGGCCTGGTGGTGGGACAATGATGATAATCTCTGCAGAGCAGGTGCTTCTCAGAGCTGGACCCGCGGCCCTTTCGCCAGGAAGTTGGCTCAAAAATGGGCCCCAGAACTTGCTCTGTTTCTGTGCCCTACCCCAGGGCAAAGCACTGTCAAGCAGTTTGAAGAAAAGAAAAAGAAAAAAGGAAAAAACCCACACCCTGATGCATCCGAGGAAAAATAGAATAAAAGAACAGGCCTCTGTAGACAGTTCTGATGTCTGCTCTTCCAGAGCACCAGTGCCAGGGAAGAGGCCACCTGCGGCAATCTGGGTGGTGCCACGAGCCACGTGGGCGTGTGGGGAGCGGGGATGGGGGCAGTGTCACATGCCCATCCCAGGTGCCACTTTAATGTCATCGTTTGTCATTCTATTGCACCCAATCTATGATAGATCATATCTATATCACCCTATATGGCTGGACACCTAATTTATTTTGAAAATATCAAAATGATTTCTACCAGTTCTCACGCCCAAGAGATGATTATAGCACTTCAAAGGGTTCTTAGGAAGGCTGAGTGAAATGACGCATGGAAAATGCTTCAGCGAGCGCCTGGCACACAGGATAGGATGAATCTTAGCTAGTCTAACGCCTTCAGCTAATAAATACGTACATGACTACACACATGCACAGACACACGACTACTCTTAAATTTGGAGAAACTAATTTTTTGTTGATGCCGACTTCATCTTCAGTCTTTTACATCTTAAAAAAAACACTTTTATTATAAAATAAAACAGATTCAGGAAGCTGCATAAAACACGTCACAATTAATTCTCATGAGAAAAACACTCCTAATCAGCACCCAGGTCAAGCCCTAGAACTCTGCCCGCCTTTCCCTGTATCCGTCAGAATCACCACTCCCGCCCGCCCCTAACAGTGACTATTCTGACCATGACAGGAGTCACTTCCTGAATTTCTTTATCATTTAACCTTTCACATGTACATCCCTACACAGTAGAATTTTGTCTTACCCATTTTCAAGGGCTGATGTGCCATTTAAAGTCTTTTTTAACCAACAGGCTCCTATCCCTTCCCTTCCTTTTTTTATATGTTGTCTGCGGCCAGGCTCGGGCCATTTGAATGCAGAGTTCCCACTAGCCTGGACTCTGGGAAGGGCGCACTCCGGTACGGTGCAGTCTGCTCCTCCACCCTCCTTATGTTCTGTCAGTTGGCAGCTGGATTCAAAGTCTGATAAGACTTAGATTAGATCCCTAGGTAAGATGATAAATAGTGGTCTATTCCTTCACTGGAAGCCACATTAATAAGGTTTGGTCATTTCTCTTTTCATGAGGTTAGTAACTACTCAATGCCAAGATCTATTAATGCCTAGGGATTGTTAGTGATGATATTCTAATTCCATCATTAAAACTATATTAGAATAATTTCTAAATAGGAGACATTTCCCTCATCTACTACTTGGTTACCCAGTGGTAGAGTTCCTAGGGGAAAGGCAGAACAAATACTTGGTTATTTTAGTCAGCAAGTTTCAAGACAATGAATTAATGTCCTAACATCCTCCGAAGGTAACCAATTTTTTAAAATGTCATTATTTAATCACTTTTGCGTTCATATTTGATACTACTAATAATGACAAATTAAAAATAACTGACGCTGGTAATATATTCTGCCATTTCTTGAGTGCCTACAATGGGTCGAGCATTTTGCCAGATATTTTACAAACAGTATCACAATCCCGCATGCTAAAGCTGTTAAGAATATTATCAACACTTTTAACACTGGTTGGCTCCATTATCTACCATCTAAAACATAATTTCATTTAATTTATTTCTAATTACAGTTCAGTAACGACAGTTATTAACACTGCAGCCGAGTCAGAGGCCCAGTCATCTGTGATGAGGGTGAATCAGAAGGCGTCCGCGTTACTGGGCGCTGGCCCGAGGGTTCGCTGTTCCCGTTCTGAAAGTGCGCTGTGCCTGCTTTTAACCACTTTCATATGTAAAAGCCAGCCAGCTATTAAAAATTAAAGATAAAAAATCACAGAGACATTCAATAAAGCTTAAAGTGATTCATTTATCTGTGAATCAGGTAAAAGGAAGGAGAAATGGGTCATGAAGCTGAAAGAGTGGAGAAAGATTCACGTGGGAGACGTCACGAGGGCCCAACATCGCACGCGAGCGCGCAGCTGAGGCAGCCACGGCAACGTGGGAAACAAGCCAACGAAAACTAAATCTCGCATGGAGTTGAATGTTTTACCCTGTACTTAGTGGCTCTAACACAAAAGCATATGGGGTGACTGACGGACCCATGCCAGCGCCTTATCCCAGGCCAAAATCAATGAATTCTCTGGAGATGAGAACGGGACATCTGAATGCTGCAGAACTGCCCAGGTGATTATAATGTACAGCCAGGGCTGAGAACAGCATTAGGTTATTTCTATGCAAGAGCTATTTCAACTTGAAATATTTTTCTGGAAAAATAACTGATGTCTCTCTAGATTACATTATAGTCTCTCTCTCTGTATAACTGTGACAATGTCACTCTGACGAATATTGGTGTTCTCGGTCCATATATCAAAGAGGAATAAGAGAAAACTTCTTCAAAGGAAACACTGACCCTGCAAAGCTGGAAGAGAAACCTTTGGTGTATCCATTTCAACACACCACTTCCCTGAAATGACACCTATACCCCCTGACCAAGAGTTGGAAGACCTTTGGTGTATTAACATCCATGGTATTCCTTCTTTGCAAAGGAAAGCTGACATCAAAGGGCTAGGTAGGATTCTGAAACAGGAATGCAAAACCCACCGGCTCCAGGAGAACACAGCATCAGTGTACGGAGCTTTGGAATGAGGGCAAGCATGTACCGGAGAGCCAGAATATCTTCAGAGTGAAGAGCTGTAAACCAAACACTGCCAATATTTCATTCTAACCAGAAACGGTTAATCTCAATACATTTGTCTTATGGCCCTAAACGTGTCGTTGAAAATGTCCTAATCTGAACACATCAGAAATTCTTAGGGTAAAACATCACTGCCCAGATCAAGTACATTTTTTGCATGGAGTGCTCCCACCACTATTTTTCAGTCTCTACTGCTCCCTTCTGGCCCCTGGATGCAAGATATAGCACTGAGTGAGTGAGTGTGCCATGTGCGTATGTGTGTGTGTGTGGCAGGGCTCTGACTTTATCTCCACAAGATCTTGCAGAGCATGCCTTGCTATACTGATTGCCACCTTGAGCTTGCCTTTCTAAGAAAGAAAAATTTCCCCCAGCTCTGCCAGTTCTGCAACCTGCTGTAGCCAGGATTGTTCTGCGTATCCTACCCCCAGAGCAAAGCACGCCAACTCACCTGTGTCAGAACGTTGAGCTGATCCATAATGTGCTCCAAAGCTTCAGTCACAGCGAGTGGTATGCTTCTTTGACTCTCAGAAGGGAGGTCACTCACGTCTTCTGTTTTCTTTTTCAAGGTTGTTGATGCATATTCCGATGGCATTAAAGAAGGATTCAAGAAATACCTGCACAGCTCTTCACCCTTTTCTGGTACAGTTCTAACAATAGTTTCCGTTGCCTTTGAAATCACAGAAAGGACAGAAAGTGTTCGTTATATTTTCCAAACTTTAAAATGATATATATATATATAAAATATTTCAATATTTTCTTTCTAAAAGCCCAGCTTTCCTTTAGTTGTTTATTCTCAACTATGACAAAGTATGGGAATTACAATTCTAACAAGGAAAAAAGCTAACAATAAACAGAGAAATTTTTCCTTGATTTTTTTTTTTAATGAACTGCACTTTGCATGTATCTGTCTGAAGGATTAGCTGTTCTACCATTAAAATATTGTTAGATGTACTCTAGTTCTTAATTGAAAAACAAATATCACATACATTAAGGTGATTATTATAAAAAAAAGTGGAAGGTAAGTGTTGGTGAGGAAGTGGAGAACTTGGAACCCTTGTGCATTGCTGGTGGGAATATAAAATGCAGTGGCTGCTGAAAAACAAATTCACTGTTCCTCAAAAAGTTAAAGGTAGAATCACCATATGATCTAGTTATTCCATTCCAAAGTATATATCTAAAATAACTGAAAGTAGGGACTTGGACAGATACTTGTACAGCAACATTAATAGTAACATTATTCAAAATAGCCAAAAGAAACAACCCAATATCCATCAACAGATAAATGTATAAACAATGGAGTTAGCCACAAATATAAATGGAATTCTGATACATGCTGCAACATGGATGAACCTTAAAAACATTACACTAAGTAAACCAGACACAAAGGAAAATACTGTATAATTCTACATACATGTGGTACCTAGAATTGGCAAATTCAGAGACAGAAAATAGAGTAGAGGTTACTATGAGCTGGGAGGAGGGAAATGTGGAGTTACGTACCTGCTGTTTAATGGGTACATAGTTTCTGTTTGGAATGATGAAAAAGTTCTTAAAATAGATACTGGGAATGGTTACTGCGAATACTTAGTTAATGCCAGTGAACTACTCTTAGAAATGGTTAAAGTGGTAAGTTTTACGTAATGTATATTTTACCACAATAAAATAAAAACACACCAAAAAAAACCCCTCAAAATATATAGCAGTGAAAAATCTAAAAATAAAATTAGGAAAACAATTCCACTTACAATAGCATCAAAAAGAATAAAATACTTAGAAATAAATTTAATAAACGATGTGCAAGACTTATATACCAAAAACTGCAAACCATCACCAAAAGATAATGAAGATCCAGATAAATGGAAAGGCATCCATATCCCATGTTCATGAACCGTAAGACTTGGTCTTAAGATGGCAATACTTCCCAGTCAATATAGAGAGACTCAATCCAATTCCTATCAGAATCCCAGCTGCCTTTTTTAAAGAAGTTGACAAGCTGATCTTAAAATTCCTACAGAAAAGCAAGGAACTTAGAATAGCCAAAAGAGTACTGAAAACTAAGTTGGAGAACTCATACTTCCTAATTTCAAAACTTACTACAAAACTCCAGTAGTCAAGACAATGTGGCACTGGGGTAAAGATAGACATACAGATCAATGGAACGGAATTCAGAGTCTAGAAATAAACCCTTCCATTTACGGTCATTTGATTTTTGACAAAGTTGCCAAGACAATTTAATGGGAAAAGCACTGTCTTTTTAACAAATGGTGCTGGGAAAACTGGATATCTTAATTCAAAAGAATGAATCTAGGCCCCTATCTCACATCACATACAAAATTAACTCAAAATGATCATAGACTTATATATATTTTAAAAAAACCTATTTAAAAAAAGAAAACAAGAAGTACATTTTCCTGATCTTGGATTAGACAGAGACTTCTTATATATAACACCAAAAGTACACATGTCAAGATAAATAAATAAATAAATTTGACTTTATCAAAATTAAAAACTTTTGTGCTTGAAAGATACCAACAAGAAAATGGGGAAAAACCCACAGAATGGGAGAAAATATTTGCAAATCACGTATTTGATAAGAGAGTTGCATGAAGAACATATAAAGAACTCTTATAACTCAAAGATTAAAAGACAAATAACCCAATTTAAAAATGCTCAAAGGATTTGAATAGATACTTTTCTAAAGAAATTACACAAATGGCCAATAAGCACATTAAAAGATGGTCATCATCATTAGGGAAATGCAAACCAAAATCACAATGAGACACCACCTAATATTCACCAGGATGACTATAACAAAGAGGACAGGATATAAGTGTTGGTAAAGATGGAGAGAAGTTGGAACCCTAACACAATGCTGGTTAGACTACAAAATGGTGCAGTTTGGTAGTTCCTCAGAATGTTAAACATAGATTTACCAGATGATCCAGCAGTTCCACTCCTCGGAATATGCCCAAGAGATATGAAAACATACACCCACGCAAAACTTGCATGTACACAAATGTCATAGCAGCATTACTCATAATGGCCGAGGAAATGGAAACAATCCATATGCAACCCAATGCTGTGAGAATGAATGGATGAGCCAAATGTGGCAGATCCATCTAGCTGGTCTTGCTCAGTGGTTAGAGCATCGGCCTGCACACTGAAGGGTCCCGGGCTCAGTTCCAGCCAAGGGCACGTACCTCAGTTGTAGGCTCGATTCCTGGCCCCGGTCTGGGGGCGAGCAGGAAGCAACCAGTCGATGTGTCTCTCTCACATTGATGTTTTTCTCTCTCTCCCTTCCACTCTCTCTGAAGAGCAATGGAGAAAATATCCTAAAAGCGACAGGGGAAAATATTCTTGGGCAAGGATTATAAAGAAAAGAAAAAAGTGGTATATCCTTGCAATGGATATTGGTTACTCACAGAAAGGAATGAAGTACTGATACGTGCTACAATGTGAATGAATCTTGAAACCATTAGGCTAAGCTACAGAAGCCATACGCAAAGGTCACGTATTGCATGACTCTGTGCATATGAAACAGTCAGAATAGACAAATATAGGAAGACAGACTGAGACTATAGGAACTGGGAAGAGGGGAGAAGGAGGAGTGATCGGTAATGGGTACATGAGTAATAAAAACGTTCTAAAATTCTTTTTGGAGTGATGAAACATCCTAAAATTAGATAGTGGGATGATTACACAACTTTGTGAATATACTAAAAACCACTGAATTGTACACTTTAAAAGGGTGAATTTTATAGTATGTGAATTATATCTCATTAAAGCTATTAAGAAAACAAATAAAACTCCAAATATATGCATCACAGAAGTTTGTGTCTTTTAAATTTTTAATCAGTTTTTCATTTCTGGTTATCACTTGGGATGTGAGAGTTCCTAACAGAAATTGCCTCAAACATGGAAAGTACACTTCTAATGA